TTCAAGACTTTACTCTTCTTACTGATTTTTTTTGTTGTTTCATGTATACCTGTTTATTGATTGAATCATTGATAAAATGACAATAGTTAAATCCTGATAAATGTTAATGCAGTGTTCTTTGTTGTACAATATGAAACACTGATTTGCTTCTAAGTGTTTTAAGTTATTTGTTTTAATTATGATGAGCTACTGTCATGCTGTCATTAGTTGCTTCTTAAACTTTAAACATCTTAATTTGATGTTGGTTAGCAGAGTCAGAAAATACTACTAGGGAAATCACTGACAGTATTTTTTTCGTATTTTCTGTGGTAGTATAATAAAGATAACTCCTTTGGTCTGTAGCATATCACAGTTTCACAGTATTTCTTTTCTAAGACACCTGTAAATCATGACTTCAGCTGGATATGTGTGGGGAGAAGTAGACTCTAATTATTTTTCTGTAAAGGCAAAGTTACAGTCTGCTTTGCAGGGTGTATGTGACTGTTGCATGGGTCCACACTTTCTTGCCATCAGATCGAAGTGGTGCAGTTTCCTTGCTTTTCAGTACCTATCCAAGGCAGGGGATCTGGCCAAAACATCCTGGCTGAAGTTCAATTTAGGTTAACTTAGTCATAGGAAGGCAAAAGTTATATTGGATGGTAAAAGGAAACAGCCAGAAGAATTATAAATACTTCCTGCTCCATCTGTTCTTAGATTTAATATGCGCCTTGTGTCAAAATAGTCTATAATCTCTGGATCTTTTTGGGTGGCCAGCTGGTCTTGAATTCCAAGGTAATGCAGGTGGTTTGTTACCTGCTGTGTTTTAGTTTTGGATCTACTAATATTGCACACTTTTTTCATGTGCCTTTGTAACCTTTGGGTTTGTAGCAGGTTTATACCAACATGTATATCATGTCCTGTGCGTCTTGAAACATTGAGCTGATGGAGACCCTATTGTACAGTGAATTAACTACATCTACAGAACTTCCTAGGTGCATAAAAAATGATAGTGCAGAAGCATTTATGCTTGGGGAATACTCCCTCAGATTCTTTGTAATGTAGACATTCACTGTCCTAAACTGTTTGATCTAGAAATAGTTGAGCAGAGTCACTCTCTTCAGCTTCAGCTCTTGGGTTTGTGGCTCTTCTTGTATTTGCACCTGCCTAAAGTTACCTTGACAGTGATAGATTTTATTTTTTTTTCCTCTCTGTCTCAATTCTGGTGTGTCCAGCAGAGGTGGAGAAATTCTCTGAGACCATAGAAAGAACTGCATGATTCACCACAACTAATTCAATCCCCACTAGTTCCATTTGGGGCTGTTTACAAAAGAGATTGGTGATGTTAGTGTAAATAAACCTGAGAAGTGATTGCAGTTCAAGAAGAGATATATCTTATTTGAAGTCATGTGCATAATACTAATCCCATGAGAGTTTTGTGGAAATTTTAAGATTGGACACTTGAGAAACAATTAGATGGAACGTAATGCATTTGAGAATCAGGGCCAGCAGCCTTATCATCTTTATCACTTGGGACAATCAGATGGAAATTTCTATTTATTTATTTTTATTTTAAGTCTTCATAATCTGTTAAAAGAATTTACCTTTTTTTTTTTAACTTTCCCCTCCCTCCATCACTTTCCCATTGTAATTTAGACAGGCACTACTCACTAAAGAGCAGCCCAAACAAATGGGTCAAGGCTAGTGTTGATAGGGAGTTGGCTTCATTTCTCTTACTTCATTACAGGCACCAGAACTTACCTGGACTAATATCATTGTTATCTGGATTGAGCCTGGCCGCAGTTGTACCTGTTGTCTCTTTGTAGAGTTTTGCTTTGATTTTAATGAGACTTTCATGAGGGCCTAGAGGAATTAGATATCTAGCTGTTACTGAATTTTGATGAGAGTGGAGTGCCTAATTTTTGTGGGTGTTTTTGTGCAATCTCAGTCTGAGTGAATATAAATATAGGCATTTTAACAGTTCTGTTCTATGAACAGATCCTTAGTTGGGAGAGCCATGTATAATGGTCATGTATAATTCTGGTGTATGGCAGTATCTGGTTTTTTTGGTTTGTTTTTTTTCTTTTTTTTTTTTTTTTTTTTTTTTAAATTTTTGTGGACTATTTTGCCAGAGAAAACTGCTTTGTCTCTTTATGTCCATGGGTATCTTTGGACAGGACATATTACTTGCATTCAGGTAGTATTTCCCCAAGTGTTATGTTCCACTGATGTAGATCTTAAAATTACTTCCACCTCTCTCCCCTCTGAAGTATGTTCTTTGATATACAAAATTCTCAGAACACAGATCTTGACAATTCACAATTCTGTAGGACGGGGTGAGTTTATCTTAAATAAAGATAATGAAGGGACTTGATCTGGTGTAAGAGGTGCAACATTTCTCTCTTTGTAATTACTGTTTTTCAAAGATTGGATGCTTGCTAGCCTATTTAAAAGAATTTCAAACTTTCCAAATTTGTGTATAGGACATAATGTATATGTAAATGACAGTAATCAGTGGAGCTGAGACTGGAGCCAGTTAATTCTTATGAGAAAGGCAAGTTGAATTCGAAAGCAGTGAATAAACAGGGATTTTCATACCAATTTTAATGCATTTTAAGTCTTTTGTGAAATAAGATATTTTGGGATACTCTATGCTCATAGTAGTTTTGTAACTGATTGTGTTGTGGTTCTTTATAAATCTTTCTGGACAGTGGTGGTGGTGCCACGTCCTGCCTTGTTAAATGGGCTGAGTTTGGCTAATAATGTGCAGAGAGAGTCAGCTCGTGAAAGTGCCAGTCTTATCTTTTGCAATGTAATGATCAACTCATATAGAAATTCTTTGTGTGGAATGACTGTTGTCCTTCATACAGCCAAACTATGCTTCTGGTAGGAAGCTGTGTCATAGTACATGCAGTTGTGAACATTTGGTAACTTGATTTCTTTGGTGGTAATGTCATAGGACTATAGGGGACCACCAATTAGTGACGAGACTTTTGTTTTGAACAGAGAAGTTTCATAGGCATCTCCCTGTTTTACCTTGTAATGAAATAGGATCCCAAGGCAGCTTATTTCAGGTGAATATATTTTAGTTTAAATGAGTTAAGCATTGTTCTGATTTGTTGCCTGTAATCAGAAGAGCCTAGTAGCTATTAAAACATAACAAAAAGGAATTTATAAGCAAAAGCTATTAAGATGGTTTTGATCCTGACAGAACGATTAGGTAATTGGAGATAAATAAGTGAGAATGGTCTTGATGTAGTAGCATTTTATCTTCTGTTTGAGTTCTGATAAGTAAAGACTCTTGCTCGTAAAAGAAGAAAGATGATCAGTTCTGTAAGCTTTGAATTCCCTGATTGCTAGCAGTAAGCACCACTCTACTTATTTTCTTACATGTCTTGCACATCGGCCTGCTTTTTGTTTTGTTTGGAACCTCGGGAGGGTGCTTAAGTTTTTTTTGAGTGTCTGTTTCTTAATTTGGCTATAAGCCAGGGTTTTCACAGTGTTACGTGTGGCTTTTTATATAAGCAGCATCATAACAGGGTTACACCACTTGCATTAGAAAGTAATTGCTGCTCAGTGTGGATAGTGATAAACTCAGATACGGAAGGTGGAACTCCACTGTGGTAAATTCTGTAAGGAGAAAGGCTAGGACACGGAGTCATCTTAGGTCTTGTAATGTACCATTTCATTGTAATTACATTGTAATGTACCAAATGAGAAGGGTTTTTAATGACACATTTTTCATTGTATTGGCTTTATTACTGTGGAACATGTAATCATGGACAAGTAGGCTTACTATAAAACTACACCCAAAATAAATAAAGGGAACAGGGTAAGCCCATCTAGTGGTCAGCTACTATTGAAAGTGGTGATTCCACTTGCTTCCTTGTGTTGACACTGGGAATCATCTGTCCTTTCAGAAAGTGGGGTTACTTTTTGTTGTTTGTTTGTTGGGTTTGTTTTTTTTTGGAGGGGGGTGGGTGTGGGTTGTGTTTTTTTTTGTTTGTTTGCTTGTTTGTTTCTTTTAATGTATGGTATTTTTTCTCTTAAATAATGAAAACGGTGCTCTTGGGAGGGGGGAATACCAAGAAATATAAGTGATCTCGTTGGCAGCAACTGACAATCAATTTTGTAAAAAATATGATAGCTGCATCACTGTGTTACAGTACTCTGATATTAGTAAACAGAAAGTTCTCAATGTTAGACATTGATAAAAGTTCTCAGGTATCCCAAGAAGAATGGTAAAAGTTCTCAGAAAACTGGGAAGTAATTTCAAGCGTGTAGCCCGCATCAATTTGTTCTACTAATAACACAGAAATAAAAATACAGTAATAGAAAGTTTTCCAGCCTAGGTAAAAGCCTGTCATTTGTTCTCAGGGTGCTTTGTGTTCTGTAAGCCTCTTGAGCTGCACTGTTTTTGTGACATTGGCAGAACCCTTCAAATGATTGTCTTTTCTGTTGTCCCTTTGATATTATGGTTGCTTTGGAGGTAACCGGAGGGGTCCTACGTTAGTATCTAACTTTTAAAAAAAGTCAGAAAATAGTCTTAATAATCCTTTTCATACTAGTTTTGGTGCATTACGATGTATTTTAGAAGTATGAATTTCAGTGCAGTCACACATGTTTAGGGAGGGATTTCTGAACACAAGTTACAGAGGTGCCCAGCTGTCTTACCTGCCTTAAGTAGTACTGGGACCGCATATAACATACCTGATGATAGAAAGTCAGCTAACTACCATGGTCTCTGGCAGGTATTTCTAATAGTATACTAGTTGCTCTGTTCTGTGAATTACATACAGATATCCAGAAACTGACTGAATTACCAGGATCCTTCCTAATCCTTATCCTTCTAGAGAGCTTTTAGAATGGTGGCTGAACTAATGTGCAACATTAGGATCATTTAAGCATTTTGTGCTGATGAGAGCATGTATGTGTGTGTCTGTGCCAGTATATTTTGCTACGTTTTTTCTGATGCCTCTGTCACATAGAAATTCTGGTTTTGTTTTTGTTTTGTTCTTGTTATTAGAGCTGTTCTGCTAATTTGAAAAGGAGACAGAAAATAGATGTCCACACCTACAGACCCTGGCGCCATGCCCCATCCTGGTCCTTCCCCTGGACCAGGACCTTCACCTGGACCTATTCTAGGACCTAGCCCAGGACCAGGGCCATCTCCTGGCTCAGTTCACAGCATGATGGGGCCAAGTCCTGGTCCACCCAGTGTCCCGCATCCAATGCCGACAATGGGGCCTACTGATTACCCACAGGAAGGCATGCACCAAATGCATAAGGTAATAGTTTATTATTATAAGTGACCTTTTCTTCCTTGAGTTCTCTCACTGATTAAAAAAACAGATGATACATTTATCAGATTAAATAGTTTCCTTTTTCCTAGTAGACTGCTTTGAACTATAGAGTTAGTAGTTTGCAAATCTTCATTTGTAAACTGTACTAATGAGTAAGATAGACATTCCTAGGGAAAAAAAATGAATTATTATATTAAATCCTTATGATAGACCATTCTAACAATTTATTTTTTTTTCCTTCTTGTCTGTTTGGATGTATCTTGTGTTCTTCAGGGATCATTTTTAGTTTTGCATGAAATTTTTCTCTTTTTTTTTTTTTCCTAATTAGTAATTTTAACTGTTAAAGGGCTTGTGCTTCAAAATTTGTTTACTCTTCCATGTGGATGAAAAACCTGGTTTCCAAGTTATTTTATAAAGGCTCCATCTAACTGAGGAATTTAAAACTGCATAATGGAGAACGTGGATAATTGGACGTTGGTGGTTGTTGTCGTACACTTAAAATTACGTATGTGCTTAGACTACCATTAATATTTTTTGCTTTGAGGAAATATTTCTGTGTATAGGATTTTCTTTGTGAGAACAGTCTCTTTATGTATTGTCATTTTTATTTGGTTTAGATTTAGAGCTTAGGATAATTTCAATTTCACCGATGTTCTATTCTCAGAAATAAGCAATAACAGCTTACAGGGCCAAGATACTGAAAACATTTTGATAACTGTTGTTGATCCCACTTGGAATTGCTGTATGCATATAGGAAAAGAATTGAATTTATAGTAAAAAATTATTTTTAAAGTAATATAAACATATTTTAATTTTCCTCATAAGTTGGCAACTTCTTGATGTGGCCATTCGCATATGGATCAGTTTACTTCATTAAAACAGTTAAAAAAGTTGCAGTTGGCATTTCCTTGTTTGTGGGATCAGTTGTCACCCAAGCTTCCAATGCTCTGGTGAATGCCCCAAACTTCATAGACAGCCAAGGATTTTACATCATTCAGTTCTCTTGTTTCTTTGTATTCTTAAAAGCTGCTGTACCTGCAGAAGAGGGTGGCACCAGGAGCTTTAGAATGGTTGAATGCTCCATACCTTAGCTTTTTTAACTCCTGTATTGTTTCACTTTGTGTGTTCTTCAGATACTTAATGCTACATTAGCATTAGAAACAAACCAAGGAATATAATCCCACAGAGTTCTTTCAGAGACTTTAGAAGTGTCTCAGAAGTTTTGTGAGCTGGAGTAGAAACTCTCCCACTGAGGTGACACTGAAATGTTTCAGAGTCTGGTTAGCTAATTCAAACATGACCAGTCAGTGTAGTTACAGTAAAATTGTGTTCTCTTTTCTATACCTTGATTCTGATAATGAAACAAGTCTGCAATTTCACAGGTCTTTATTTTAGTAGCAGCAGCCTTTTGTCACTTAGGCTGCCACTTCACGAGTTCTAGCATGCCTTTGTGTGTGTGTGACTAAGCTAGAAAATGTGTGTATTGAACTGATCCAGGTGGGGAAAAAAAAAACCCCAAAAAATCATGGTTGATTTTTCAGTCCAGATCAGTTTTCTAGTCTGTTTTCCTGTGCAACCACAGAAACAGTCTACTGTGACAACTGAGGGAAGGGTGTCTTTAAGAAATGCTGTGGAAGGTTGCCTGTAGACTATTTTGCAAATATTACTTGAGTGTTGTTCCATGTAAATAAAAAAACTGGTCAGCCACCTGCAGTTTGACTGAGTAAATGTTTTTTTCCTGCTCAGTGTTGTGTAAAGTACTTGGACTTTCAAGTCATGATATAACATAATACTTTTTTTTTTCCTAATGAAATGCAGGAAAAATGAGAGATTGCACAGTGTCCCAGTTACGCAGTTGCTTTTGGGGTACGCATCTTTCATATGCAGTGGCATGTGGTTCTTTTAAAATACACAAACTAAGTAGGGAAACACCTGAATTCTGTGTTAGATATTTGACTAGCATACAAAGAATAATATAATGCATAACATTTAAAAAAACCCCACAAAGTATCCAACAGTAGAGAAAACATTGATTGATGCAAATAGACATTAATAAATAATTGCTAATGTATGTTTACTTAAAAACAGTTAATATAAAAATTTGAGACTGTATATTCATTTAGTAACCAGGAAACCCTTTCACAGGAAAGTCTACTGTTGATTTCTAAAACATTGTTTTGATAGAAACAGTAAATCAGCTATCATTTATGCACATGTTTTAAGTAATCTTTAGGCGATCAAATTGCCAGGGAAATATAGTTACAAATTGTTCCAAAGCATGTCTTGTGTGCAAGACAGCTGCATTTAAGGGGAACTACTTCGAAGTGTATTGAAGGGGAGACCATGCTAAATGGACAATCTCAGAGAGTCTTGTAAGGTGAAAATACTTGGAAGCTGGGAAGATATTAAAGGAAAACATTGTTAAATGGTTGCCCTAATCTTACTTCATCCATGTATGAGCTCCTGTGGAGGCAGAACATTAGGGTAAGATGGTTTTAGTATGAACTGATACAGCCTTCTGTATGCTCTTGTGCACAAGCTGGGTGACATGATTTTAACTGCTTAACTCTTGGTTATGACAACAGTATATCCACTTAATTTGCATGGTTCTCACTTGAGGAATGGGAAGAGTACTGTTAGCTCTTGGTTTATTTTCTCTTCCATTCAATTTTAACCTGATGCATAATAACTTCTTTTCTCAATTTGTAATAGGGTGTTCTGTAAATGGTTACTGGCTGTGGAAAAATTACCACAATGTCATGGGCAAAATTACTGTTTTTGGTGAGTTAGAGAAAAACTGCGTGATAGGAAGACATTATCTTCCTACAAAAATGGTATTTTGTACTAAATATATTATTTGTTCACTCAGCTGTTCCATTAAACCAGAAGGCAAATGGTTTCAGATTTCAAATATTGTTGGTTAACATATCTGTGCACATTAGAGATTCTGGGAACCTTAAAATTCTGCCATGGTCCCGGAAGTAAAACCTTTTTATTCAGTAGCAGGTTCCCTGTATTATTTTTGTTGTATGTGTTTACATTAGTGAAAAAAGAGAAAGTAGTGTTGTCAGCCTAGAAAATCAGTGGAGACCTCATATGAAATGGTGTTTTGGTGATTTAAAGGAAAATAACAGAGTTGTTGGGCAAGTCCCTACTGAAAGAACAACCACAGTCAATCTGGTTGTCCACCAGTGATGCATTCAGCTGTTCTGTGCAGTTACATGACAACACACTGCTCTTTGGTCTGTGTAATTTTTGTTGCTTTAGAGGATGCATAGTCCAAGACAAATCAAATCTCAGACTTGATCTTGGTCTCTGATTTCAAGGCTGGTGCTTAGTTTGTTTATTTGTTTCAAGAAGGCAAAGGAAACAGAAAAAGATACCATAATCTGACAGTTTACCTGGAAATAGGTCAAACTGTGATGCAGCACTGCCTTGAGAAGACCTTAGTTACTGAATTCAGAGTAAAAGCAATGTAGGCAAAGTGTTCCTTACGCGTTAGGCATTATGTAAAGTCTGTAAGTCTGCCAAGTCTGTAGGTGTGGGCTTGCATACAGTTGAAGCTCTTCCCTCATTATGTTTTTGGTAAGCACTGTTTATATATCTGGCCTGTTTTGTGCTTGTTCCTACTTACGGGTCCCAATGAAAACAGTAATGTGTACTCGAATGTGTGTCAACTTCCTGTTTCTGTCATAATAATGATGTACCTCAGTTTGATAGTAGTGCTTTATTGGTAGCATAGATTACATTTCACATCCAACAATGTCATTGTGAAAGATATCTCTAATAATTTATACAGGACTGAATAATTTACAGAAATTGCATCGTGTCCGAGATCCTTTCTGTAATTTTTAACCTGTTACATACACTTAAAATTATCATTAACTCTTAACTACACAGTGATTCAGAGAAGTTATGAAAAATAACTGGTTTTCAGTTTGCGTAGTCCTTTGCTGAATTGTCTTTTATAGGGTTTTTCCATAGACAGTTGAGGTATTTCTGGATCAAAAATATTCTTGGAAACACAAGTCTCTTTGCATAAATTAGCAGAACTGTGATCATTACAACTAATTTTGTCTTCAAAGGAGTTTATGCCACCTTCATCTTTTGTAGCTTTGCTAGTAAAAAACAACCTGATTAACGTGTTCTACCTTTCCTAATCTGTTCCAGATAGATTTAACTTCAGTTTTTTCACAGTGTAATATCTGCAAACACAGAGAAGCAAACTGCTTTCTTGATATATTTAGGCTCCCTTCCATTAGACTTGAAGCATTTTGGTTTGCTAAAGGTGTCTTTTTGTGTGTGTATGTGTGGTTTATTTGTTGTTGTTAGTTGGTTGTTTTTTGTTTATTTACTTGTTTTAAAATACTTCTCTTACAAAAACCCATTCTCTGATCAATTCCATAGAAGCATTCATTCAATTGATTCTTTCTTGTATGTCTTTACTTTCTTGATCCTGTTCGATTTTAAAATTTCTCTTGAAAAGACCACATACTGTTTTCCTCTTCGGTGCTGCTTGTTGTTAATGCCAGCTCCTTTTTCCACCTTCTATACGCTGGTACCTCTGATACCCTAGGTGTACATGCTGTGTCCCATCTTAGTCCCATCAGAGGTGCCTGTATTCACAGATGTTGCACAGTTGCCACCCATTAGTGCAGTGACGCTTATCCCTGCAGTCACATCACAAATATGTACAGCTAGAGTCGTCTGTTCTGGAAATCACATCCAATTTCCTGCACAGTATGTTCCTCCTTTTGGTGGCCCTAAAGACTGTCCTTGACACATAACCATGATAAATAGGAAATGCATCTGGCTTTGCAGGTGTTTCAGTTTCTGTAGTATTCAGCTCCTGCAGGTAGAATGTGAACTGAGTGTTCTCTTCCACATTGATTATCTTTGTAAGTAGTGGCAAAGGTAGAGGAAGGGATCAGAAAAGGACAATGGGATTTACGTAGTTAACACAGAGGAACTATTTTTGATGTATCAATCATCTATTTCTACATTTCTACTCCATATCCCAAGTTCTTGTAATCACAAATAGCTTCTCTAGTAATAACGGGTATTTTTCCTGTACAAGTTCTTTACACAAATGTTATACCATCATGACAACTAAACAATTTAATGAAACATAAAAAATCCACATTAATTCTCCTTTTCTATAACTTTCCTCCTTTCAACCCATAGTTTCTGATAAGAAAAAATGATAGTGAAATCCTTTAAAATGCTAATAAACACCCCTCACCCACCATGTGTTTAAAGATACTTCCAATAAAATTTGATTATTGCTATGGTAAGTGGAAAATTTGTATCTAGGGGTTATAAATTAAAATTTAGGATAATGTTTTCCTTTGTAGAAATGGTGACCTGTGTTTACTTCTGCTTAAATTGATCCATGTGCAACAAATTGCTCAAAAGGAAGAAATGTGACAGTATCTTTTTTCTATGACTAGATGTAGCTTCTTGCACACTATTTTTGTTAACTGCCTATGTTTCCAGTGGAGAAAGTTTTCTTAATTCTCTTTTTAAAGAGAATTCTCAGTAAATAGGTGTGCATTTAGATAAAACATTGCAAGCTCTCCATTCGCAGTAGGGTTTGCAAAAACATTTAGTATGTATGTATGTGTTACAGAGAGGGGCAGAGTTGCATTTTTCTGTAAAGAGAAGATAAGGAAGTGATGCCAGCTTGTCTTTCTTACTACAAAGCCTTGCAGAGCACTAAGTTAGTGAGCATAATCTCTTTCTTAATTAAGGACCTGATGTAATTTTTGCTTTCAGGAACAAATTTCTTAGTTTTCTTAAGACATCCTCTTTCTGATGTTACTTTTCCCCTATTTTAACTTTCAGAGTCCTTCAGTTTCTATTATGTCCAGTGTCCTGCATGCCTTCAGCATGTGTTTGTGACCCCAAGCTGTCTTCACTTCACTCCCTGAAAAAGACACTTGGCCCTGTTTTGCGTTTCAGGTGCTATGGGAACTGTAGTTTTTGAGGAGTGAAATAGATGACAGGAACTGTAGGGAGCACAAGTATTTGATTAGAACTATGTCTTCCCTCCCTTGACTACCCATCCCTGGTTTTGCCTGCAAGGAAGTGGTTAGCTCTCGCAGCGTCATCTTTGTTTTTGAAGAGAAAGTGTTTGGGGCATTCCAGTAGAGCAGTGACTGAAAGGGCAAAGTTTGGACTAAAAATAACTCAAGCCAAGCCGCAGGCTGTACTTTTCTAAGTTGGTGTGTGTTACACTGCTTTGTAATACGAGGCCAATACGATTCATATGTTTGTATTTGGACAGTTTGCTTCCTTGGCTTTGCCAAACAGGAGAAGAAACAAAAACCAAACCAAAATGGCAATGGAAGGGACAAGCAGTCTAATGGTGCTCTGTGCTTCCCCAAATGTCTGATTCCAGGGGTAAACATTCCCAATATATTTATTTTGAATGACTGCCAGGAAAAGTTTGTACTCTATTTATTTGTTTAGATTTTAAGTTAAAGTCCTTTGGATTTTTATAGTGGATTTATATACTCTCTCCATATAAATGCTTACTTTGTTTTCACAGTCTATTGATGGCTTGCATGAAAAAGGAATGGTTGAAGATGTTCATTGTGGCTCCATGAAGAGTATGCGACCTCCGCACCCTGGAATGGGCCCACCTCAGAGTCCAATGGACCAGCATAGCCAAGGTTTATACATACTGTGCATGCTGTATGATTTGGGGCCCCTTTGTTTCACAAAGAATCAGTAGTTCCATGTAACAGATTCCCAATTACTTCATTTCAGTTTTCTTTGGAAAGGTTGAACTGATACCACAAGGCAAGGTGAATAGCTGAATCCCTTTGCTTTCTGAAATGCCCATCGGTCATGTAGTTGAAAAAGCTGTGGATCAAGTCTGTGACTGGGGCAGGTAATTGGGCTAAGTCTATTACAGATTCCAGTTCACATCTCTAAACTCCGGCCACTTAACTCTTTCCTATCTTTTGTGGCTACTGTAAATGTAAGTGCATTAGAATATAATTTATTTTAATCCTATGGTGAAAGAGCAATAAGAGAGAACCACCTAAGCAAAACTGGAGAAACCTTCATTAATATCTGTAAGGTTTGGTCAAGAGCTGATCAAAGTTCTTTCTAAAACTTTTTATGCCAGGGAATATAAACTGTTTTAACCACATTGCTATATGCCTTCCTTGTGTCATTTAGCTTGCATCATAAGAGGACATGTATTCTATAAGCAGCTCAATATATTGGGCATTTAACTGGTAAAACGTGCTAGTATTAATTAGTTCAGAAAATAAAGCTTTGTGTATTGCATAATTTATTATATTACAACAACACCTGAGGAATCTAACTGAAATTAGCTTTCTGTACTTCTATGTCACCATTTTTTCTTCTTACACAACTATCTTTTTGCAAAACAATGGTGATGGCACTTGAAGATATTCTGACATGTGCTGGGTAAAGTCCCATCTGCTAACTTTGTATTTTCTTCCCATTAGTGTACAGATCTAAGACAGAAAACCATGCTTCTTAATAGCCTTTCAACTTGTTGGATACTTTCAGTCTGATTTACTGTGGGATTGGAGTCTTCTGAGTTCTGTTTCTAGGATTTTTGTGGAAACCAGCAATGTAAAGGAGAGTGAGCTTACTCATGCCCACACTCATAGGGAGAGAAAGTGTGAGTTCTCTCAGAATCCATGCAAGGATGCATGGTAAATCTTCTAATCCTGACAAAATCTTCAGTTGTGTTTGGTACAGTGTTCAAAACCAAGACTTACTAAAAGGTTCACTGCCTTGTAGATTCTTGGTTGTCTGATAGTTGAGCTTATGTTGCAGTTGTGTACGATTTTTAACAATATGCATGTCAAATAGAAGTTGCACCTCATTAGTTTTAGGTCTGTTTTTTTTATATGACTTATTGTTGCAGGCCTCAAATTGAAGTGGGTAAATCTATGCATTAATTAATCTATGATTTTTGGTGTTTGGTGAAAGGTAGCTGAAGAAGTTCAAAACCCCAGGGAATGGATGACCCTGAATTTCTGCCATTAATTTGAAAGTGTAAGCAGAATGGTTTGAGGTGGAAGGGACCTTTAAAAGTCATCTAGTCCAATGCTCCTACAGTGGGCGGGGTGATCTTCAGTTACCTCAGGTTGTTGCTCAGAGACCTGTCCAGCCTGACCTTGAATATTTCCAGGGATGGGGCGTCCGCCACCTCACTGGGCAACCTGTTCCAGTGCTTCACCACACCCATTGTAAAAAATTTCTTTGATTATATCTAGTCTGAATATACCTTCCTTTAGTTTAAAACCATTACCTCTTGTCCTCTTGCTACAGGCCCTGTTAAAATGTCTGTCCCTATCTTCCATGTAGCCCCCTGTAGGTATTGGAAGGCTGCTCTTGAGATCTCCCCAGAGCCATTTCTTCTCCAGACTGGACAATCCCAACTGTCTCATCCTTTCGTTCTGCGTGATGTATTCCATCCCTATGATGATCATTCCTGTGGCCCTCCTCTGGACTTCCTCCAACAGGACCTTTCTGTGTTGGGGCCCCAGAGCTGGATGCAGTACTCCTGGTGGGGTCTCATGAAAGCAGAGCAGAGGGGGAGAATCACCTCCTTTGACCTGCTGGTCACGCTTCTTTTGATGCAGCCCAGCACATGGTTGGCTTTCTGGGCTGCAGGTGCACATTGCCAGTGCATACCAGCTCATCCACCAGTACCCCCACTCTTTCTCCGCAGGACTGCTTTGAATCCCCAGCCTGTGTTGATTCTGGGGATTGCCCCAACTCAGGTGCAGGACCTTGCACTTGGTCTTGTTGAACCTCATGAGGTTGTCACAGACGCACTTAAGCTTTTACAGGTCCCTCTGAATGACATGAAGTCAGACTTGTCAAACAAATTTACTACTCTTTTGTGGAGATCATAAGCTAAATTGATTTATAAAGTGAAAACAGGTGTAGTACAGTACTTCGTGCAGTACAATATTTGTACAATTGTCAGGCAAATGGATTCTGGCCTGTATATGGAGTTTCTCCATGCATCGTTAAAGCCAGTAGTAGTAATGATAGATACAACTTCGTCCTATAGGCCTACAAAAGTTGCTTGGCTTGTTACTGAGTGATACTCAGTAACAGAAAGATAGCACTAAATAAAATTAATGTAACCTATATTAAATAGATTAAGCTAGTTAAATGGCAGATTATAAAACTAACTGTAAATAGAAGATAATAATCCAATTCTTGATTTTTATACTTCGTCTTACAGGTTGCTGTTCTGGTTCAATGCTGTTCAGTGTTATTTGTTAGTGATAGGGAAAAAGTGTAAAACCAGTGCTGACAGAATTTGCAGGTGTAACAGAGGTTTAGCAGTAAAGAGAGGAGGAGGTGGTGGCAAAGGCTGATCAGGATGCTCAGTAAAGAGCACTTATTTCTATAGCATACATTTTAGCACAGCCAACAGCACTGTATGTCTAGGAGCAAAGTATTTAATTGTGTAGGTGATATGAGACTGTATCACACAAAGCCGAAATGCTGAAGAGTTTTGGTTATTCTGGCAGACTTAAATGTGTATTGCTTATACACTGTTTGCAAACATGAGATGGAATGTACTACCTGCATACAGAAGCAGGGGCATATTAACTGAGGAGTTGTATCATGTTTTCTAATGAATTAGCTGAAGGCTGTATCGTAGTATTGTATTCCGTTCTAGTATCTACAGTGCAGAAGGATGTTGAGAAATGTTTTAAGGTAGCATCAGATGTTTGAAGCATCTTTTGTATGAGGAAAGGCTGAGTGAGCTGGAACTACATAACCTGAAAAAAGAGAAGGGTTGGAAATACCTGATAGGACAGAGTGATGAAGAGAGATGTAGACTCTTTGCAGTGATTATCAGTGACAGAATAGGAGACAGCTGGCAAAAACTGAACCATAGGAAATTCCATCGGAACATAAGAAAACATGCTGTTACTGTAAACATGGCTGAACAGTACAGAAGGCTGCCCAGAGAAGTTGTCAAAGATAGTCAAAACCTGATTGGACATTACTGAGCAACCAGGTACAGCTGACCATATTGGAACAGGGAGTTGGGCTAGATGATCTGGAGAAGTCCCTACCAACCTTATGATTCCGTGAAATTGTGCCTTATTTAGAAGAGAAAGAAAAGAATGATTTGAAACCTGGAAGACTTGGGGGTTTTGTGGTGGGGGTTTTTTTTGTTTGTTTTTTGTTTTTGTTTGGTTTGGTTTTGGTTCTGGTTGTTTTTTTGTGGAGAATGTTAAACTCCATTTATTCTGTCTGAGAGAGAACTAAAAGATTACTTGTTCAGCCTGCACATTCCCAGGTGGTAGGAAGGATTGTATTAGATGGTCCAGTGAATTTTGGTACCTGCAAGTTTAAATTAGGTGAAATCAGACTATTAAATATCTACATCTTAGTTAACAAAGAGAAATAACCTTTGGGACAAGGCTTATCCAAGTATTTATGGTAGGATTTCTGTCACATTAAATTTAAGTCAACAGTGGCTGTCTTTCTCTTCTGTTCCACAGACCAAAGGGAGGAGATAATTTAGAGGATAAGAGTCTTTGGTCTTACTTAGACAAGTTCCGTAGGCTGTTGTAGCCATAATGATCCTATATTGTGAGAAATCTGTGAACCTCTAAACAAGCTCTAAGATCTGAGAAGAACTGGAGGGAACAATGCTTTTAATTCTTTGAGAATGGACAGATGGATAGTCATCATAAAATGCTGCTGTTCTTATTGCTTTGAGTAATACAGTTGTGATGAATGCATAGTCAGTAGTCCTGTTGCAGTTTCAGATCAGTTGGAACTAATCACAAAATGAGATTTCATTAAAATGTCAAATGTTCCCTTAGCAGTCTTTTTAGTATTTTTTTTTTAAGAAGGTTTTTCAAAAGAGTGTGTTTAAGTACAAAACCAGGAATTTTTATAAAATATGTGCTTATGAATGTGGGTGATAAATTAGAAATAAATTGACAGACTCGACATGCAGTTGTAGGTATAATTTATGTAAATAAAACATGCAGCAGTGAATGAACAATCTTGAAATACAGACTGCTGAACTTGCAAAGAACGAGTTGATACAGAATTTTGGAAGTAATGATTCTTACAGTCTGTATAAAGAAATAATAAGTGACCCTTTTTGAGGTGAGATGACTTATTTTGATGAGCAAATTGGAAATATTTGTAAGCTAAATCTGCAAGAACTTTGTAATCTTGCTCATAAATGCCTGTTAGCTGTTTGGATTGTAGTTAGTGTTCTGAAATTTTTGCATTTTTTTTAAAGTAACAGTAATTACTAAAATAAGGTGTGCAACTTTATTTAGATTCTGGATTTTTTTTTTCTTGGTGCTCAGTGAGATGCTACTCAGGTAGAAAGAATCTGTTACTAGCTCAGACAGATTGTCAGATTTTTATTGCAATCATACTGCAATAGGATGGTTTTCAGAAGACTGACATTAATTTACAGGGAAAAATATTCTGAGTTTGTAGCTTTCTCCTCAACAGTTACTCCTTTCCACATTTGCTGCCAAATTGGAGAAAGGGTAGCATTCCTGACTATTTCTGGTGACCAGTTTTCTTGAACTTGTGCACAGTGAGGTCCCTTTTTAGTCTTAATACCTTTCTGTTAATACTAATAGGTTAAATAAAAAGTAATCTATTGCTTCAACCTCAC